CGCCCCCTCACCTCCCCCTCCCCTTCACCTCCCCCGCCCCCTCACCTCCCCCTCCCTCCCCTCCTCCCCCTGGGGCCCCCTCACCGCTGAGCTGCTCCATGTCCCTGAAGCGCTTGGCGGGGGGAATGGCCGTGTACTTGATTCCCCCCGCGTACGGCTCCTCCTCGTTCTCCAGGTGCAGGTACGCCTGACCCCCCAGCGGGTGGGTGGAGCTGCGAGTGAGGTCCTTGTAGATGGAGCTGATCTGAGGGGCGGGGAGGGGGACGGAGAGAGGGAGGGAGGGAGGGAGGGAGAGAGGGAGAGAGGGAGAGAGGGAGGGAAAGAGAGAAAAAGAGGTTAACGCTGGTGTGGGAAGGCAGCTGGGGTAGGAGTGGGTGTGCCGTACATGCCACAGGGCCCACCAACCTCACGGCCCAGTGGCCCCAGTGAGGCCCGCCTCCCCCCTTTCCCCCCGTGGAAAACCCCTCTCCCGCACCCTAACCACAAACATACACGCGCACACACACACACACACACACACAGCGCACCTGCTCCGAGATGTGTTTGAAGGCCGCACTGAAGAGGTCCTGTCTCTGTGTTCGAACCCGGTTGAACTCCTCCGCGGCGCTGGTGGCCTCCGCCTGAGCCGCGTGGAGGGCGGCCAGCTGTGTTGATGTGGGTAGGGGGGGACGGGGGAACCGGGGGGTTGTAGGAATTGGGCTCAGGGATTATGTGTGTGCATGAGGGGGGCGGGGTGTGAGGTGGGGCCGGGCGAGACAGGGCTGGGTTTGTGAGGTGGAGGTGGAGGTGGAGGTGGGGTTGGGGGTGGTGGGGAAACAGGAAGAGGGCGACGACCGAGCGGCGGCAGTGTTGATGTTGTTACAGGGTGGTTAAGCTTCACCAGTGGCCTCCTTCCGGAGGCAGTTCCCTGCTCTCCCCTGCTAGAGGGGCACCCTAATCCATTCACCCCATCCGACTTCAGAGTGTACTCTTTGAGTTCGGCAACTCACCACCAGCATCCAACCAAATCTAGCGGATCAACGGCGCGTCAACCTAGTTCCTGGTCAGCTCGCAGTGTTATGGAGGAGAACGAAAAAATGAAACCGACAACCCCTTTCCCCATCTTCCCCCCCCAACACCCGCACCTGTTCCCTCTCGCGCTCCTTGACAGCGCCGTACTGCTCCACCGCCCGCATGTTGGGAGCCGCCTTGTCCAGCTCAGACTGCAGTGCGGTGATGCGGTCTCGGAGCTCCGAAACCACACGCTCGCGCTCACGGGCGGTTTCGGCGGCCAATTGCTGCCTGTGGCGGGTGTTGGTGCACATGGCGGCATATCGCAGTCGGAACGGGGGAGGGGGAAGGGGGGGTTGTGTGGGTATGTCATAGCACCGAGCACGAACAAGAGTGCATTCTTAAATGTGGTTCATTTTTTATCTGTTATAATTATTTATAAGGGATATATCAATAAATCATGGACTTGAGGGGCTGCATAGACAAGTACTGGTGGACTCCCCCTCCCACCCCTCGCCCCCCCCTTCCCTACCGAGACCATAAGACGCTACTCCCCTCCCTTCCCATTCGTCTTTCCTTTCGCCCTCACTCTCCCACTCACCCACTCCCAGTTCCGCAAGAATGCGGGGGAGTCCGTCAAAGCCCCGGGGCCATCGCACACACACACATGACTAACAACGGCACCCCGCCCTAGCCCCCTCAAACCCACCTGCTAAGACGGGACGTGTCCAGCTGCCGTACAAGCTCCGACATGGCGGATGCCAGAGCACGAGTCGAGGGAGGGCCTTCGCCGCTGCTGCCGCCGGCGCCGCTGCCGCCGCCAGCTGAGCCCTCCGCCGTGGCGGTCTCGCCCCCATCCTCGCCGCCGCCGATGCCCGCTACGAGCGCATCCAGGTCAATAAACGCGCCACCGCCCCGGGCGGTAGCTCCCGCCTCCTGGTCCGCCATCTCCTCGTCTTCATCCTCCTCGTCGTCCTCCGATTCGGTCGTTCGACGTTTACGGGGCAGCTTGACCTGCCGGGTCGGGTTCGAAACACCATTTTTAAATGTATTCATTTAACATTTACTAAAAGCCGTGAGAAAAGCGGCAAGCGGGAGCGCCTGCGGGTGCGGCACCGGTGGGCCTGACAAGCCGATGATATAACAAATATAAAGGGGGAATTACACTCGCCGCAGCCGCAGCCGCAGCCGCAGGCGCTCCCCCCTTTTCTCTCCCCCAACACACACGTTCCGCTACCCGGATAGGTAGGTGGCGACCTTACCGCGCACCTTCCCTCTCATCACCCCCATCCCCCCATCCCCAACCCACCTGTTCGAGTCGTGCCGAATTCACCACGTCCAGCATTCTGGTGGCTCTGTCCTCCACCGCCAGCCCCGCGCGACTGGCTCCGCGCCGCAGCTCCGCAGTGCGCCGTACAAGGTCGGAGGCGGACCGCTGCAACTCGGCAATACGCTCCTCCTCCGCCGCCACCTGCCGCCACGCGGGAAAACAACGACGGCAACAATACCCAACAGCCAACGGTAACGACCACGGTTGCAGTGGCAACGGCAACGACAGCAGTAGTGTTAGTGTTAGTGTTAGTGTTAGTAGTAGTAGTAGGAGTAGGAGTAGGAGTAGGGGGAGGAGGAGCAATAGTCGCAGTTGGGGGCGACGGCAGCCGCAACAGAATGGTGGATACAGCTAGGGTAGGGTCCGGTGGGTTCCGAAGGTAAGGGGGACCGACCACTCCCCCCGGAGGACCGACGCCGCCACAGACCAACAGCAGTGCGGACGGCAGCGGGATCAGCCGCGGGTGGCGGCAGCCGGGGTAAGGAGTAAGCCGCAAGATGACAAACGACAAACCAGCTACCACAAACCAGTCAGTCAGCCCCACCTTCAGGGTCCCTTAGCCCAGACCACCACCACCACCATTACCACCACCACCATTACCACCACCACCAATACCACCACCACCAATACCACCACCACCACCACCCCTTCCCCCTCCACACCTTGTTCCTGAGATCGTCCATCTTGTCCGTCAGGGCCTTCACCTCCACCTCCACATCCGCCGTCGCAGCCTGCGCCGCCGCCGCCTCCTTCTCCAGCACCGCCTGACGGGCCGAGTGCTCCGACAGCTCCTCCGCCGCGTCCTTGGCGGCGGTCCGCAGCTTGGCCAGCAGCGACCGCTCGTACTCGAGCTGAGACTCCGTGTGTGTGCGCTGCGGAAAGAAGGAAAGAAAAAAAGAGGGAAAGAAGGAAAGAAGGAAATTTTCACGCGAGCTGCTAGAGCAGAACGGCTAGGGCAGAAGGGCCCAGACGGCCACGGCACGCGACACCCCCCCCTCACAACCACACCCCCCTCAGAACATCCTCCCTGCGGAAGGGGGGAACAGAAGGGATCTGGGGGAAAGATCCTCCCTAGGAACCCCTCTCCTACTAACTCCCCCTTACTACCCCACTAACCCCCCCTTACCTCCCGACTTCGTCAATTGACTTTGTTTTTTGTGATTTCTGACTTTGTTCTGTGTCTTTCCCCTCCTCCCCTCCGTCCTCCTCACCCCCTCGCCCTCCCCCCTCCCCATCACACACACATACATACACACACATACACACACATACACACACATACACACACATACACACGCATACACACACATACACACATACACGTACACATGCATACACACATACGCACACATACATACATACACGCACACACATACACATACACATACACATATACACACATACACACACGCCACCTCACCCTCTGTGTGAGTTCCCTTCTCCGTTCCTGCACACTGGCCTCAAAGCTGGCATGCCGCTCCTCCCAGTCCCGGATGGAGCTGACCCCCACCCGACGGGAGAAGTCCGCCATGACGCGGTCGGTCACGCGGTTGATGGCGTCAGTCAGCCGCTGCAGGGAGGCCCCGGGGCACGGGGGGAAATGGGAACTGTGTAAAAGAGTTTGGGTGATGGGAGCTGTGTAAAAGAGTGGGTGAGGATGTGCGAGCGAGGGAGTGCGAGAGAGGGAGTGTGTTTCGCAGGGGAATCGAGTTGGATTGTGTTTAGGTAAACTGATGTAAAGAGGTTCAGGGGAAGAAGTCCCTACATGCAGAACTTTATATTGAAACAAGTATCAGTTAGTGTGAATGTACGTATGTATGTATGTACGTATGTATGTATGTGTGGATGTGTTTTGGGAGAGGATTTGTGTGCTTGGGGGGTTGTGCGCGGGTATGATGACGGACACCACCGCTTGTGTGTGTGGGGGGGGGAGCCCGGCAGATATCGGAATGCTCCCCCCTCCCCCCCTGGACAGCATCAACTACATTCCCGACCAGCTTCCCGACACCCCCTCACAACCAACACAAATTTCATCTCTTCACGAGCCTTCATGCCTCTTCATGAGCACATACATACATACACACACATACATACATACATACATGCACACATGTCCCACCTGAATCTTCCCTGCCCGCGCCTCCATCCGCGTCTGCAGCTGCTGTACCTCGGGGGCCTTACGGTCCGCCTCCGCCTCGGCTCGCTCAGCCTGGGCCAGCAGACCCGCGGCCCGGCTGCCGGACTCCTGAAACACACATCCACAGGTACGTACAAACATACATATTTAATATACTATATTTAATATAATATGTATTCATGCACATTATATGCATGCATGCAAGGTGTCAGACTGCAGTGCGGCGGTGATACTTCTACCTGGGTCGCACAGGCGCATTGGCCTTTAAACTCCCATTGTTTTAACTTTCTTACCAAGTGGTGGTGAGGTGTGTCCCGCTGCTGGAACAGCGAGACCTCTGGTTTTTCCCCCACCCACCCCGGGCAATCCCTGGGATTGCCACAATGCGGCGGTCCCTGGTTTTGTCGCTGCTGGCCCCGGGTGGGTCGCCCGGGTGGCCCTTGGCTTCCTTTGCTCCTCCCCTCCAAGCCCCACCCCGCAGCCAGCACGCCCGCTCCGGCCCCCATAGCACAGCACAGCACAGCACAGCATACCTTGGCATCTGCCTCCGCGTACTTGATCTTGCTGTTCAGCGCCCCCATCTCCCCCGCCAGCACCTGCTCCGCCTCCGTCAGGCTGCGGGAGGTGGGCAGTCGCTCCAGGGAGGCCAGCACCTCCTCCAGCTCCCTGCGGAGGCGAGTCAGCTCGCCCTCGTCCCAGCGAGCACCTCGAGCCTCGGGGGGAGCACTGCCGCCTTTCGGGGGGGGGGGCCGGAGGGGGAAAGAGAGGGGGAGGGGGAAAAGGGGGATGGAGGGGGGATTCATATCTTTTCATATGCAAGATAGAAAGAACGTCCTGTCAACGCCCAGACGGACGGACGGACGGACGGACGGACGGGTGTGAGGGAGTTGTCGGCGGGTGTGAGGGAGGAAGAGGATGACTGCATGCAACCGCGGTGGAGGGGGGGGGAAAGGGGGTGGAGGGGTCCGACCGGAAGCAGGTGGGGTAGATGTGCGTGGGTCCGGCGTGTGTGTGTGTACATATTTTGGACAAACGGAATACGATCGCGAAAAAAACAAGGGCGAGCCGTACAGCAAGGTAGGCAGCAGCGTACCGAAGCCAAAACACAACTCCTTGCAGCACCCCCTCCCAAACCCCCCAAACTCCCCCAACCCCCCTCCCAACCCCCGACTACCCCCCAGTCCCCCCCTCCCCCCCCACCTGTCATAGTTCCCCTCTTGGCGATGAGGGTGCCCTGCAGGGTCACCACCTTGAGCCGCTGACCTCCGAACGCCAGATCCCGGGCGTGGTCCTCATCCTCACAGATGACCGTGTCGCTGCATCACATCACATGGCATGACATGACAACATAGGCGAAGGTAGAGGGGCGCCAATGCACACAACATATACACACGCACGCACACACATACACGCATACGTATACACACACATACATACAGGCACAAGGGCCATGAGGGCCACCCACCCACGCACTTACCGGCCCTGTCTCTTCACTATGCCACATACCCGCGCACCTGCGTCTTATCGCCCGCACCAGCACCCACAAACACCACCACCACACCCCAAGCCTTACCCCCCCCTCCCCCCCCTAACAACCCCCTTCCCCCCCTCCTGTAGGGGCCCCCTCCACCTCCTACCCATTTCGAACACACGTACCCCAATGCGAACTGAAAAGCCCGCTCCATGCGGCGGTCGGGTATGTCCAACAGATCAATGGCCAACTTGGCTCCGGGACCCAACTGCCGTAACCGCTCATTCACGGGTTTCACCTGTTGCAGTACACACACGCACACGCACTCGCTGAGCGAAGCGGGTTATGGAAGGACGGAACAGGGAGGTGGTCTGGCGGGGAATCCCTTTGGGATTATGGGAGGTTGTGTGTGTGCGAGGGGGGGGAGGAAAGGTGTGTGTGTGTGGGGGGGAGGGGTGCGTGTGTGGGGTGGGAAGGGGGTGTGTGGGGGGTGAGGTAGGAGTGTATGTGGGTAGTGGGGGTGTGTGCGGGGGGGGTGGGGGAAGGTAAAGATGCATGTTTGCAGTTGGTGTTGTGAGGGCCCACGGGGAGCATTCGGGAGGTCGAGGTGCGTGGAAAAGGAAATCCAAGCACACAGCAGACAGCAACCAGGAAGGAAAGGAAGGAAAGCCGTACAGGACGTACAGGCAGTTATCCGGCAGGGTAGGGGGACGAAAGCTTGCTCCTGATTCCGGTCCCCTACCTCCCACCCCACCGTCCGTCCTCCCCACGAGCACCCCCGCATAAAACGCACATACATACATACATGCACGCAAACACGCGCGGGTATACGCACACACACATACACATCCGTCCGCCCGTCCGTCCGTCAACCGACAATTGCCGTACTCACTTTTAGGAAGTCTAATGGCAGGAAATTCATGGTGGGCTTCTTCTCGTCACGGAGGATCTTCGAGGGGGAGAGAGAGAGAGGGGATGGTGAGGAGTGGAATGTTTGAAAATGGAAGGTACGGGTTAGCTGAATGTGTGCCAACATACACACACACACACACACACTCCTTTCCCCCTCCTTGAACTTCCCTCCTCTCCAAAACCCCTCCCTCACCTGGCCCCCTGCACCCATCGGTACGCCCCGAACGCCACTACATACATACACACATTCTCTTCTCTTTTCCCCCTCCACACCCTTACAAACCCCCCTCCCCTCCCCTCCTCTCCCCGCTTTTCCCCATCCAAAACACCTACCTACCTGCCTACCTACACACCTACATACCTACACACGCACCTGGATGCACTGCGAGGCGGTTGCCTCATTGTTAACCACCACACTGTCCAGGTCCCTCTGCATCGCCACCGACAAGGCCAACTGATAACGACTCTGAATGGGCTTAGCCAGGGTAACCAACTTGCCGTACACGGTGCCTGGGGAAGAAGAGGGCAGGAGGAAAATACGAGACCGTTGAGAGCTGACGACGAGATGGACGAACAGACCCAAGGGCCCCACCCCACCCCACCCCACCCCAAGTCACTACTGGTCCGCAACTTCAAAAAAATATTCCTGATGCAGTAGCTGAAGTATCCGTCTAGCTCTCGTATCTGCTGCTATCGTCTGTGGTTCGTCGTAACCCACTCCCAACCCCCAACTCCCACTCTCACTCCCCCCACCCACCCCAACTCCAGCCCCCACCCCACCCTCACCCCACCCACCCACCCGGAAAGCGCTGTTTGAGTCTCTCCGCCATCTCCGATATTTCCCGATCCCTCCGGCTCTGGTTGCGGTCCATCCGTATGTTCTCCAGAGCCCGTTCCAGGCGCTCCTGGTCGAGTTGGAGCCGCTGACGGGCGGCACTGGGGAGGTGGGCGGGGGTGGGGGGAGAAGAGTGGGGGAGGGAAGTGTTGTGTGAGTGTGTGTGTGTGTATGTATGAGTGTGTATGAGTGTGTGCGTGTAGAGAGAGGTTGGGACCGGGGTGCTGGTGGATTCACGGGACGTCGCCCACCCAGCTACCACTACCACTAATACCACTAATACTACCGCTACCTCCTTCAATATTAGATATTCCTAATGCAGCACTTATCGTCTCCTGAGCTATCCGTCTATCTCTGGTATCTTCTTCATTCGCCCATGGTTCGTCTTTACCCCTAAACGCCGTCATTGTTTTAAAAAGGTTCAATCTCCCGG